GATGGGTATGGATAAAGGGTTGCAATAAACTTGCATGGTTTAAAGTCTGAGCATTTCTATATCTATGAACTGTCACTAGTACCAAATTTCTAACTTAAATCATTACATAGAGGTTTGAATGGTGGTCTCTAGGGGGGTCTATGCCCGACAACTTGGTAGAAATTTTTAAAGACTATATCTGTTTTTGAATAGCATTATTCTAAAATAAATTTTACGTTCCTAGACATGCTAATGAGCCATATATTTTGCATGATAATGAGCCTAAATATTTGGCATAACATTCAACTATTGTTCACTTCAGTTTTTTTTTGGAAAAAAAACGTAAGCAAAATTTGTTGTTTTTACGCAAAAATGATGCCCACAAAATATATTTTGTATTGCTCTAATACGCTGAAAATGGCATTTTCAAGGCTCTGAAATTCTAAATTTCTCAGGGAGAATGCCTCAGACCCCCCCTGGTACGGAGCGCCTCCGACGTTTTATGACTGATGTTTGAAAAATCCTAGATCCGCCCCTGATCTGATGTTGAAACTTAAGTCATTATGTGTTCCAGTCTTTGTGTAGAGTGATTTTTTGTGTAATTACAATGGTTGTATAGCTGTATATAAAAATTAAAGTCACAAGTAATCCAGTTCAGTGTCTTCATTCTATAAAATTTACTTTTATAAATGTGTGAGGGTAGTATTTTGTGCAATTGATCTCTCGATACTTCTTTGTTATGCTTTTACACCATTTGCTCATCATTAAAGAAGATGGAACATTCAATTACAGGCTCTGACTTAACTGCAATAAAACAATAAAATATTCATTATCGTAAAGGAAAAATTTGAAACACATGTCTACAATCAATAGCGTTTCCACAAGAGAAAAGTCAGAATCATTCGGATAAAAAGAAATTTGTATAAACATATGTAAATCTCTGCTTTAGATAATTTATTGCAAATAAATCACCACACTTCTCTTTCATACAAAGTTCATATGTATATGTTTATTCAGTAGCGTAGCCAGCCCGACTTTACTCTCGCTATGCAAATATTTTTCGCATTTAATAAATACGACGCGTTTTTTTAAAATAAATGTGTTTCAACATCTCATAATGGCATCTACAGTATAATAAGAATATTATGTATATGCATGATAATTTTATATAAGAGTAATATGATGCAGTGATACAATTATCAGTAGATTATAAATATTAAAATGAAATACTGGTTGGAACTAATTTATGAGTGTATTTACAGGCTGAATATAGTGTTAAAACGAAAAACGTGAACGTTGAGATTACAATTAATTTTGTTAATGTGAAATGCTTCTTTTAAAAAAACTCGTCGTGTTTATTAAATGCGCTATATGAATAGTGCTTTTACGAAGTTGCAGCAAATATTTTTGTGTTTGACCGTAAGAACAATAGATTTCTAAAGAAATACTTCTAGTGTATCAACTTTTAACTAGACAAATAATAATTTAATTTGTGATTACCAAATTTGTTATTGGTATTCGTTCAAAATTTACATAGCGGTGTAAACCTGCATGCTGGCTACGCTACTGCGTTTATTTAAATGTTTCCTTTATCTTAATTAATGTTCCTTCCTTATATTGCCAATTATTTTGCAGAAGAAATAAGTGGATTTCTGCTCTTGATTGTTCCTTCGTGTTTTTATGATTAAACAATTTGTTACATTTATTTATTTTTTGCTTCTTAGGATATTAAAAAAGTCGTTTGGACCATGATTCATGACATATCATAGCCGGTTCATGATGTTCCTAAAGATGTTCACAGTATGGTGGAAATCTTATCTGAAGTTGAAGATTCACAGATCTGCTGATGTAAATGGACCTGTCGTTGTTATGTGCAGGTAAACACGTGTCACTGAAATATTAGCAGTTGATTAACCCCGTCGCTCTCGTGGTTATAATTCGGCGGCTTAAGATCTGAGTGAAGTTCTCTACAAGAATTTTGCAACAAACACAAAAATATTTATTTTTTTAATCCAGTGACGAAGCAGGTCACTGTGGTACCTATATTGCTATCTCAAATCTTGTGGACCGAGTCAAAACTGTCCAAGCGATTATTGCGTTCCAATGCGTCAAGCTGATCCAGAATAGACGCCGCAGCTCGTTGAAACAGCGGTAAGCTTGTCTTTATTACTCTCTTAAAGCCCCAACTAGACAAACACCAAGCGTTATTTTCATTAATGGACTATGCAGCCTCTACAACATAGACCATAAAAAATTTTGTTGTTATTGACTTTGACACATTTATGATTAGGGTCGGGTGATTTATTGAACGATGCATTGCAGCTGCGTTCCGTTTACCGCAAATGTTCACTAGCCTCACGTGTGCATATGTCATCAATTCTTTGTTTTAGAATATCTTTTTCAAATCTTTGAAAGTTTTTTACAAATCTTTAAAACCTTTAGAATGTTTTACAAACTTTTCTTTTACCTTTGAAAATGTTTGTTTTACTCGAATCTACGAGATGGTTACTCATCAAAAACGGGTTTCCTTAACGCGTATTTGACCAAATAACACGTCGTTTCCTCGACAACACCTTTAACTCAAAACCTCCCGTCATGACTGCTCACAAAAAATCCATCTACTTCCGTCTTTTTTTCACAGGTATGCACTCTCTTCAAATACACATATAAATAAATCGCCTTAGTGCTGATGCTTTTCTGCATGTACTAATTAAATTTGTTTTCCACCTTTCTTAACGTATATTTTCTTTCTTCCCCTTTTAGGAAAAAACTCAAACCTCAGAAATTGGATGTTGTGTATTCATTAAAGTGTTATAGCTGTACGTATTGTATGTGGGTAAAATCACACGTCATTTACACATCGAATTTTCGTAGCATAGGAGAATGTCTCCATTTGAAGGTATCCAAACGTCACGCCTTGCGTTATGGAGCATTTTTGCGAACATAAACATATCTGGAGATATCCCCAACATGGACGACTTTGAAAGTATTTCCTCTTCTCACGATTCATACAAACTCTCCCTTAATGAGAGCCTCATAATCAATAGCTACAAGTTTTTCCTTGTCGAAAGTATAGTAAAAGTACAATAGAGCAAATCCATTGATTTTTTTGTGCTACGTATATCTCATTGCGCATATGATTACTACATTGGCATCTAGTAAAATGCTTTTTTTTAGTAATAGGAGTTCCGAACTGGCTAACGGCAGCCTGTTATCTAATTATATGTACAGCAGCCAGTTTCTAAGCAAAGTGGACCTTCGGTATGTTTCCTTTACTATGACTTAACATCTGTCCAAGGCAGTTCTATTCAACTTTTTTAATTTCACTATATTTTGCTTCCTAACTTCGTAATTTATATAATCTATTTGATACCGTCTCCTTTTGTATTCTAACATCTTATATAAATATGATTGTTTCTCATAACAACCTATTAAGGATGCAATGCTACCCGAACTTCCGATTCGTTAAATAAAGCCCTATAATGCAGCGGGTGTTGAGTTTCGTTTTATGTTTTTGTACATGTTTCTGTGCACCTGTTCACTTTAGAGTGGGTCACTTCAAAAGTTAATTAACATAATTTACAAACTATAGAAATTACCAGCCGAATGAATGAACTTAAAGTTTGTCTTACACCAAATTAAAAGTGATATGTCATAATAATGGACATAACAAGGTGATACAGTTAAAGCAGACAAAACAGAACATTGTGACTTTTGCGACCATTTTATTTTTAATTCTTTAAAAGACAATGCTGAGCTCAATTGCTTATTGCTTCAACTACCAAAACTGTTAAGTCGAGGCATTATTTTTCTCGCCATTTCTCGTTGTATTTGTGCTGCTGTCTTGTTGTATCCATGGTCTAAATAAACACTTGTATACAGTAAACGAACATCTGGTAATATGACGTAAATTTTTGTTGTTTTGACGAAAATTGGTATAATTTTTAAAGAAAATTTTGCTCATGACTGCATGCCAGCATAAACTGTTTTCTTGTATGTGTTAGTGTTATTTTAATTGTTTTGAGTTAATGACGTAATTTGTCAGTGCAAATTTTTCAATTACTTCAAGAATTTATTACACAAGTCAAGTGTACAATTTTCTATGCATCTCTCCTCTAGACATATAAACAACTCTGGTATTCTTTTCATCGAGATCATTATTTTCATAGACATAAGGCCTGTGAGGGCACAGGGGGGATGAGCCCCCAAAGCTTAGCCATTCGGGCGTTTAGGCTTAGCACAATTTTCGTTCGGGCAATTAATAAAAGGCTTAACAACGTTAATTGAATCAAGTTACATAGAATTTTCATTACAGGATTTTGAGTAGTTAAAAGCATCTTTTAGGTATTTAGCATCTTTTAACACAAACTATCATTTTCATTTATTTGTTTACATGTCTTTCCATGCTATAGAACTACTAAAAGTTTAATAATTTATTTGTATATTTGTTATTGTCTCTGATCTTTGAGAAATCATTGACATTTTTAAGAATCGGATAACCAAAGGTCATATTTTTTCTGAATTTCCTACATTCATGAGTATAAATGGCCACACTAACAAATCCGACTAGGAAACACGATTGAATACTTTATACATGCTTTGCTTGATTATAAGTTAAGCTACCAAATCTTACTTGTGCCAAAACAGCTGTATTCTAAGAAGATTTCATATTGCTCATGTACGCCGACTGGAAAGTTTGTAAACTGCGCACGTGAGATCAAATCTGAGTTTCGTTTATACTTGTTTTTGCGCGCCTGAAAAGCGAATATCGTAATGTATTACGCGTAATGTATTATTAAGTAATCTATTGATATCTTTAGGTAACCATGTATTGTTTATAGTTGGGTTACTTTTTTTGTTCACCACTTGTATACTTAATGTTTTTATGTTCTTCTTCGTCATTCATTTTTATCTTATAGGCTGTGGAAATTTGGAGCTACTATTGGTGCAATTGTGGCTGGTGTTTTGGTCATTACTCTTGTCGTGTTGGTCATTCTTTTTTTGTTAGAATCAATTCAAACTCTGCTACACGAGCGTGCAGTGAAATGCGTATTGGAGTTATACGTCGACTACTGACAACATTTGACGAGAGAATATAGTTCTGAATTCAAATTTAGATTTAGTTTAATCACAAGCTCAAAGCAAACATTCTACTGCGGTTGCTCGCTTTCAATAGGTTAGTGTAATGACCGTTTGGTTTTTTCATAAAACTTATTTCAGATAAACTTCCTTTTCATCAAAAACGAAAGACATGGGAATTTATACAGTTTAAGCTTCACAGATGAGTTGGCAGTTTTGAAAAACCAGGCTCAGTCCTCAATGTTGAAAAATATAAAAATAAATAGATTCCAAACAAAATGGCCATCTTGAAATTCTATATTTGAATTAAAACATAACACGTAAGATATAAAATAAGCCCAATGAAGTCTTTCAAATAAAGTCAGCAATAAACACTCGTTTTTTTGTCTGTTGTTATAATTCAAATATTGAATTTCAAGATGGCTTTTTTAATGGAATCTTTTCTTATATCGATAGAATTCAGTACGCTTAATTATTTTAAATGAAATCCCAGTTTTTTAAATTTATATTGATGTCCTTTTTTAGAAACGAATGGACTTTTCATCAAACATATTCAGTCAGGAAAATGTTTTTATGATAATGGTCATGATCCTGGATTTTTTACTAATTTGAGGTTTAAAGAGAATTGTTTTCACTCGGGAGCTCAATTTAAATTTGTACAATCTGGTTCAATATTAAATCTAAACAAACCAGGTTGTCTTGAAGAAAACAAAGACAAGCAGAAGTTATTTCGGACTCATCCAAACTTCTTTAGACCATCAATGCTATGACCCAAACCTTTTGGGGGTTTAATCTATTCACGCTATAATAAAAGTATAGCAGCTCTAAGAGGTCTTTTGACGTGAGGACTGGGCAATTGTAAAGATGAAGAAGACGAACGATTTTATTTTACCAAGTTTGAATTTTCATCCAGTTAGCATGTATATAATTAAACTATGATCAGAAGCCACTGCAAGGCCATGGCTATAGATATGGTGCCAGTGAGATCAGTGCCACCAGAAACTTCATTTTTTTAAATTCAACTTTTATTTTACAGGTAATTCAAGATAAGCTTGTATAGATTTGAATTTGCTTATTTTTTTGTTTGTCTTCTATACGCTTACACTGTTATTTTTGGGGTGTTGAACTAGCACTTTCTCTAGTGCTAAACTGACACCCTATCGGTGGTGTTAAATAAAAGTGTTATTATAACACCAATATTGTTGTTGATTTAACAACATATGACCTTAAACATATTGTAGCGTGTTAAATTTACACCTCAACACTTTAACACCCAATTAATGGTGCTGAACTAGCACCTTCTTCTGCCACAAAAGTGCTAAAGTAACACTGTTTTTTGGTGTTAAGTGGTTGGTGTTAAATTAACGCCATTAGCAAGAGTTACAATAATTTATAAAGGGCGGTATTTCTGCATCCACTCTCCTTGTAAAATCATGGGTGTCAAAATAACACTCATTTTAACTGTTTTTTTAACTTATTTTTATACTTATATCAAACTGCAGCTGTTTTCGTTCTGACACGGATAACTGAACAGTTGACTTATGCGTTCATTTAAACAGTTTAACAACTTCGTAAAAAAATAGCGGCAATACATATGTTATATTAACCAGAGGTGGATTAAGCATGGATTTTATAGGGGGAACCTTGGCTTTGTGAGTTCATTAAAACTTAAAAGTAACTCTTCTTCCTGTTCAGGGTCTGTATTATCAATCTCATGATTTTGATTAGCATCGTCGTTTCCCCTATCAGTATTCAACTCTGCGCTGTCCCTCGTATTGCGCACGATGTTATGTTTTCGAATAAGGTGATTTCTCAATGAGAAAATTTCTTAAACGTCCTGGCAGAGCCATCGATGCCACAAACAACATGAAAATTTGGCTCATCACGATGAACACGGCCAATATGTGTTATTAGTAATTGAAGAGAATCTGAAACGAATTCTAGGCAAATATTACATCGATATAGACGCTACATGACATAATTCACTTCAAGAATACAATTCACTTCTGAAGAGAGTGCCTGCTCAACTCTGTTGCCATATATGGTGTGAAATGTGATATTAGCAACTATATGCAAAAACGCGGTAACATGCTTATAGCCAACTGTCACTGTCACACTGATTATATTTCATTTCATGATTTTCATCGTGATTTCACCTGTTTGTGCAGCGTTGTCAAATTATATTTTATTGTGAACTAAACGTAAAAGTCAATATTACCAGGCTTAAAGAGCCATTGGATTTAAGTTATTTGCTTTCGACGATCTCCCTTCTTTTAAAAAGGTAAATACAAAGCTTTCTTGAATATATTTTCTTATGAAATTTCTTGTGACACATACTTCTCCTCGTGCTTATATTTCATGTAGAAATTTTTGTATTTGTGTTTTACAAATTTTTATACGTTTAAGGTCGGATGGATTCCACGTTGCTTGATAATCTTAAGAAGGCAGGGGTAAAGGAAAATGTAATTTTTATTCTTGAAGATGAAGAGGTATGTGTATAAAATTAAATTTAGCACGAGTGCATGAATTTTTGCGTGTTGACGTTGTGACTAGACGACTTTTTGTTGCTTTTGTTAACACTGCTTGGTAAATATGGACTCCATACCGAAAAAACAATACTTGAATTTAGTGGGCAAAATTATTGAGGGAAATAAAGTGTAAAGATAAAAAATGACTAAGTAATCTAAGACGTCAAGCATTATGAGTGAAAGTTCAACTGCTGTGGTTCCAAACTACATTAGACTATGAAGTAAAAATACCATATCATTATTATTGCAGCATGCTAAGTAGATGTTCGAATAAATTACTTCATTTTTTTTACTCCGGTCCGCGGAATCCTGGCAAATGCAGCCAATAAATTAAGCTGTTTTAGTAATTTAAAAAAGATATTTTGAAAACGTTTTTAACAATGGATTTGAATGATAGTTTGAAACTCGGAAAGCGAGTTTTACTATGCCGACGAGCTTGGAAATATCGTGGAAAATGTTAGCGAAAATATAGCAGAAAACGTAAACATGGATGAAAGGGACGAAAGTTTTACGCATGAAATTCAAGATTACATTATGGCACAACTGCCATAACCATTTGACAAAAAATAAATACGTTATTTACCGTTTATATTTCGGTCCGAATAGAAAAATAGTTCTTCTCGAAATAAAAAACGGCCTTTGGCCTCTGGCCGTTTGGGACCTCTGGAAAACATTTTTACATTTATTTCACGCGCGTTCTGATTGGTTAAAGCCCAATCCAAACATCAAATGGCTGTTCTTTTTTCGCTTGAATGGACCTCCTGTACGAGCCTCTCGCTCAGTCATTAACATATATATATATCTTTTTAATTTAATTTTGATTTTTTGTACTCGAATAGTTTGATTCAGCTGGTGTTTTAAACAATACATCTGATGAGCTATTGAAGGCATGTGGCATAAAAGGAGGGCAAGTTATACGAATCAAAAATGCATTGGCAACGATTAACTTGGACAATTTTTCTACCATTAAGAAATGTTCCATCTACCATTGAACCATCCACCCAGAAGATCGCTTTATCCACTAGTCATTCCTTTGCCATAAATGACAATGTCAGCAATTCTTCAGCGTCAATTGAAGAAGCTCATTTGTCAACAGGCACACCGTCACCTACAACATCCAGTACACCTCGACATACCATAGCATCTCAAAAGAGTGATCAACCTTCACCAAGCTTTGTACTTGTGGAAGAAAGGAAACTGAACAAGAACTGGATAAAAGATTTTAAGCTTCCTATTTCTGTATGTTAAATAGTATACCTCGTAATAGGTCACATTCTGATGTTAAAATTTATCTTTTGTATTTTACAGTTTTCTCCAACAGTGCATGAAGCACTGCAAGCAGGAAAACTTAATGGAAACCTTAGGGATGAGTTTACTAGGGACATTTGTTCTTCTATTAAAGCTCATACAATGTTTCCATCCAGAGAAGAAAACAAAGAGTGGCGTCCATGATTGTAGAAAAATATACTTTTCTTGTCGATTCACTTGGAGCTGGTACAGTAAGTCATATTCATATTATTTAATGCATAAGATAATCTTTAGAAGAAATCCTATAGCTTTTCTCGCTATCTCTTATAATGTACAGCATGAACTTTCTTCGTTATAGGGGTCATGGTTGAAAGCAATCACTAATCGATTCAAAAACATGCGTAGAAAGAAGACAAATTCAACAACAAGATCTGTCTGTGTGTCTCAAACTACACAAAAGCAGCCAGAAGCAAATATGAAAAGACGTAAGCTGTATGATGTTTATGATATGGATAATGGTGAGACTGCAGAAACGTGCGAAGAACATAAAAAAGCCATGGTAACCGAGATGACGAAAACAAACAAAAGATATAGACTAATTAAAGAGCTCATGGAGTTGACCTACCCCTACCGGCGCCAACAATTTATAAATGAACCAAAAGTGTTGAATGAGCTACTGACTGAGTATCCAGCTCTTCAGCTTGTTTCAGAGGTAAGAATAAATATTTTTTGAACAGAACTATTGCATAGAACTATCCTCAAAATCATGGGGGGCAGCTAATTTTACCAGTTGTAGTTGACATCTTTTGCAGTAAACTGATAAAGTAAATAATAGTATGGCGCCTTATGGCTACAGATTTTTTGTCCATTGAAACATATTTGCAGGAATGTAGGATTTCGCTGCCATATAACGGTCACGATTCCCCAAGCACTAAAGAAATCATAGCTAAAAGTCCGTCGGCAACAACAATTTTAGAAGCATCAATCTGCTTACCATACGCCATATTGACATAAATCGCATCACACACTCGCATAAATTGACTTTGATTTATTACATTCATGCATACACTTTAGTTGTCCTTTACTTACGATTTTGGATGTGAATTTCTGCTGATAAAGCTCAAGACAATGTTGGCTTTCTTTTGAACATCAATGACTGAAATTAAATGAAGATATGATCTTATACGTCCGGCCACCCCTCTTATCAGTCGAGACCATTCCAGACTGTCCACTGATCTGGCCATTGACCAGTGAAATAAGCGTTTTGGCGTTCATAGTCTCCTTTATCCGTCGAACCAGTCAAGCCACCCCGCTTATCAGTCGGTTATTCCAGGTCAATTGAAATTCAATTGATCTGGTTACCAACAAGATATTCATTAGATTAGTCATTGGTTTTCAATAATAAACAAAGCTGGATTTTATCACGAAGTAAATGCGATAATAAAGTAAGAATAATTAATGACTTTTAATTAATATGAATAGGTAATTTTGAATTCATACATCAGTCGACGGATTTGACATACTCTAGATCCGCCCAGGGAACAATATCATTTTTGTCATTTAGCATTTTAACCTGTTTTGCCGTGTTCACAAACTTTAGATGCATTAATAGGTAATTTTTGAATTCATACATCAGTCGCGCGACGGATTTGACATACTCTAGATCCGCCCCAGGGAACAATATCATTTTTTGTCATTTAGCACTTGAAGTCATTAACCTGTTTTGCCGTGTTCACAAACTTTAGATGCATTAATTTTGCCTCGGCGCTTTGTTTAAACAGAGTAAATTATAATAAACTTATCTTCTATAACATTGCTTCGTCAACCAATGTATGTATCTCAATTTTTCTCTGTTTCCAAAATTTCTAACAAATTTAAAGTATTATTGTTGATTCGTAAAGGGTAGGATTTGAGGT